TCACAGATAGTTTGCAAAGGGCCTTTTTGGAGGAAATGAGACTGGATTGTTTTTAATATGTCAATTCTCTATTTTCATGTAACTTAAAGTAGAGCTAAAAGCAAAACCTTTTTTCATTTTGGATGGAGTAAGGGAGGGTTATAACCCCTGTCAGTTTTTTTTTTGCTGTCTCTGTCCCATTGGGAAGTTTTTCTTATACCTCGTGTCCCATAGCAAAAACATGAAGTGAGAGGAAATCCCTTCATTATTATTATTATAATACAGGATTTATATAGCGCCAACAGTTTGCTCAGCGCTTTACAATATAACGGGAGACAATACAGCAACAATACAGTTCAATATAAGAGGGATTTAAGGGCCCTGCTCCTTGGAGCTTACAATCTAGGATGGAGGGGCTAGTGGTACAAAAGGTAGTAACTATGGGGGATGGACTGGTTGGAAGAGTAGAAGATTCCAGTATTAGCTGAGGGCAGGATAGGCTTCCCTGAAGAGATAGGTTTTCAGAGATCGCCTAAATTGGTAGTTTCTGTACCAATTCTCTTTACTCCATATTGCTGGTTGATAGTACAGTCAGAGGAAAAAGAACAATTCTTGCTTTAGCTTGGTGTAGCATGTTGAAGATGAGCTGCTGGCTCTCGAGACACTGGCCTAAACTTACATGAAGGTAAGGTAGTTAATGACTTTTGGATCTGTCCAACTGTTATGGAGGTCTGCATAAACATTTTTTATCGAAATCCAATAGGCATATTTATAAATCAGTGAATTTGGCATTCAACAAATGTTCACTACTGCTGAATTAATCACTGTAATTTAAAACACTTGCACCAAGAAGATACACCTACAGTAAATGTTTGGTGAATGTCAGATTTAGTGCTTTTTAAATAGTCCTGTATTGTGTTTACTTGAGTTCTAAAAATTAAAAAGACCAGTATAATTGTAATGTTGTTGGAGTAATCTCCTTCGCTGCCATTTGATAAACTTTTACAATTTCTTCATTTATTCATTTTTTTCTACAGAATATATATATATATATATATATATATATAAAAATATATATAACATTTAATTAGTACTGTTTTTGTCATGAATGTATTTCTATTTGCCACAGGCATTCGACAGCTGACTAAGAAATAAATTCATACAGAAATAAAGAATCATAAAACTTGTATATACACAGAGAAGGAAAGGATGTTGTCCCCAACCTGAATGAGTCAACATGCATCTCAAATGTAGTAATATGTTGTCCCCATGTTGGATGGGGGAAGCTCTGGAGAAATCCTGGAGACGAGCATGGGAGGAGGAGACAAGGGAGCTAGAGAATAAGAGTCTTGTGAGGAGTGGAGAGTACGGTTTGGGTGATATTTAGAGACAAGATTTGTGATGTAATTTGGGGCAGAGTTATAAATGGCCTTATACGTTATTGTTAGTGTTTTGAATTTTATCCGTTGGGCAACAGGAAGCCAGTGGAGGGATTGGCAGAGAGGGGTGGCAGATACAGAACGGTTAGTAAGGTTGATAAGTCTGGCAGCAGCATTCATAATAGACTGAAGAGGGTAAAGCCTGCGATGAGGTAGGCCAATGAGGAGGGAGTTACAATAGTCAAGGCAAGAGATAACAAGGGAGTGAATAAGTTGCTTAGTGGTTTCCGTGGTTAGGAACGGGCGGATCTTGGAGATGTTGCGGAGGTGAAGTCTACAAGATTTGGACAGTGATTGGATTTGGCACTGGAAGCACAGATAGGAGTCTAGGATTACACCTAGTATCCTAGCATGAGGGGAGGGACTGATGATTGTGTTATTGATCTTGATGGAGAAGTCAGGGGAGAGGGCATGGGATGGGGGGAATACTAAGAGCTCAGTTTTGGAAAGATTGAGTTTGAGGAAGTGGAGTGACATCCATGCAGCTATGTCACTCAGCCTTTAGTTGTATGTTATTCTGTAGTTTCCTTTAAATCCTCATTACAGTGCATCCAGAAAGTATTCACAGCGCTTAACTTTTGCCACATTTTGTTATGTTACAGCCTTATTCCAAAATGGATTCTTTTCCTCAACATTCTTCAAACAATACCCCATAATGACAATGTGAAAGAAGTTTGTTTTGAAATCTTTGCAATTTATTAAAAATAACAAACCACAATAACAAAAAAAACCCCACGTGTACATAAGTATTTACAGTCTACCAGTTCCTGCCGCTGAAAAACATCCCCACAGCATGATTCTGCAACCACCATGCTTCACTGTAGGGATAGTATTGCAAGGTGGTGAGCGGTGCCTGGTTTCCTCCAGACATGACACTTGGCATTCAGGCCAAAGAGTTCAATCCTTGTTTCATCAGACCAGAGAGTTTTGTTTCTCATGGTCTAAGAGTCCCTCAGGTGCCTTTTGGCAAACTCCAGACGGGCTGCCATTTGCCTTTTACTGAGGAGTGGCTTCCGTCTGGCCACTCCACCATACAGACCTGATTGGTGGAGTGCTGCAGAGATGGTTGTTCTTCTGCAAGGTTCTCCTCTCTCCACAGAGAAATGCTGGAGCTCTTTCAGAGTGACCATGGGGTGCTTGGTTACCTCCCTGGCTAAGGCCCTTCTCCCTCGATCGCTCATTTTGGCCGGGCGGCCTGCTCTAGGAAGATTCCTGGTGGTTCCAAACTTCTTCCATTTATGGATGATGGAGGCCACTGTGCTCATTGGGACCTTCAATGCAGCAGAGATGTTTCTGTACCCTTCCACAGATCTGTGCCTTGATACAATATTGTCTCGGAGGTCCACAGACAATTCCTTGGACTTCATGGCTTGGTTTGTGCTCTAACATGCACTGTTAACTGTGGGACCTTATATAGACAGCTTTATGCCTTTCCTAATCATGTCCAATCAACTGAATTTCCCACAGATGGACTCCAATCAAGTTGTGGAAACATATTAAGGATGATCAGTGGGAACAGGATGCACCAGAGCTCAACTTTGAGTGTCATGGCAAAGTCTGTGAATACTTATGTACATGTGTTTTTTTTTTTTTTTTTTTTTTAATAAATTGCAAAGATTTCAAAACAAACTTCTTTCACATTTTCGTTATGGGGTATTGTTTGTAGAATGTTGAAGAAAAAAAAATGAATTTAATCCATTTTGGAATAAGGCTGTAACATAACAAAATGTGGCAAAAGTTAAGTGGTATGAATACTTTCTGGATGCACTGAATGTACAGGCTTCACTAAAGACTTTGGTAAAGTTTTTAAAGCAAACTTCACATCTGGAATTGGGATGTAATCATAGATTTTAATGGGACTGGTGATTGTCACTTTGCTAACCCCTTCATGACCAGGGCCAAACCTTTAAGCCTAGTACACACTACTATTTTTTTTTTCCGTTTATAATGCTGGGCGAAATGAAAAAAACCTGACAGCTCAGGAGGGACGGCTGTACTAACTATCTAACTGTTAGTATAGTGATCTTCTCTGCTGTGCTATTGTGTTTTGACAAGGGGAAGGGCCCCTCACCATAACACTCTGGCCATCAGTCTCAGCCATTGGCTGAGAGCGTTGATCAGAAGCCAGTCGGCAGACCTTTTCAGTCATGCACCTTTGACATAAGCCGACTGCTGTACAGACAAACTGAATGTCGGCCAGTTTCTATTGAACTGGCCGATGCCGCCAGACATTTGGCACAGTTCAATAGAAACTAGGCCTAACGCTCAAGCCCAATTTTGCAACTTTCACATGTGTTAATAAAACTGTACATATCGTCACAACTAGTTAGTGTATCCAGGTGCAATATACCTTGTTTTTCTTTCAGGACAAGGACAGATTTGACTTTTATTGGGTAGGAAATGTTAATGGATGTCTGACTTTTTTCTATTATCAAAAGAAAACCGGCCCAAAATAGTAAAAAAAAACTATTTTTTTTAAATATAGCTGTATATGTTTATGCCATTACCATGTACTACCACCAAAAAACCCCCTGCAATATAAATTCTCAGACTCTTGACAATCGCAGTAATACCACATACAGTACGTGTGTTTGTGATTTGTTCTTTACGCCCATAGTAGGGCCACTAAATGATAATACACATTTTTTTTTCTCCTACCTAAACACATTGTCACTGACACTTGTACTCATACTGACACTAAATATAAAACCTTTTGTTTTCTTCACTGAAACATATGGATGCTAACACTGCCACTAATTGTCACCTGCACTGTCACTAACTGACATGACTAATGGACACTAACTCTAACTGACAATTACAGTGGCACAAACTGAAACACTGTCACTAACTGACACTTACACTGGCACAAATAACAATAAATACCTGATCAGTTTTCTAATTCCACTCCACTCTATCTAAAACTACAAAAAAAAAATGCGTTTAGGTATACTTTAAGGCTTCATGCACACTGGATGTTTTAAAAATGCTCCTCCTCTTAGCAGCAGTGTTTGGGCAGAAAAAATGTCAGATGCTTGAAAAAGCATTTAATGCTTTGACAAGCGTTTAGGCATGTTTACAGTGCTTGGTCATTAAATAATTTAATTGACCAGAATAATAATTTATTCTGGCTATTGAAATGAATTAACTATCAAACACTAAATGCACCTAGAGTTATCACGGGTTTAGGCACGTTTACATGCATCAATCTTTTTTTATGCCAAAACGCTGCTACTCCTGGACCCACTGGCCCTGGGTTTTTTTTCCTGTTGGTAATCGTCCCTGCCACTAAAATATTCTAAAAGTCTATGTGTGAATGGACAAAGGATAACACGAAGGGGCATTTGCAAGCAGTAAAAAAAAAAATGCTTGACGCCCCTAAAAGTGGCTGCAAAAACACCATGTGTGCATGTGTGCAAAGCTTTGCTTGTACTTGCTGTGCAATTGCTGTTGCACGCACTGAAGTCTGCACGTGCAACATCTTATCCTTGTGCGTGATTTTGTTACCATACACATATTATTTTATGTATCATAGCAAAAAGACTTAGATAGAACATAATGATAAAGTACTTTTCTCTCTCAGGTATGCCATTTATGAATCAGAGTATCCTATCAAACTTTGTCCTTTTGGGATTCCCAGTGTCAAAAGAATTACAGCCATTTCTGTTCCTTGCTTTTTTGATCATATATTTAGTTTCCTTTGCTTGCAACTTCCTTATAATGGCTGTTGTTTGCTGGGATAATAAGCTTCACAGCCCAATGTACTGTTTCATTTGCACCTTTTCATTTTTAGAAATCTGTTATACATCAGTCACTATGCCTAGACTTGTGATTGATCTGAATTCGGATGACAAAATTATTCCTATCCCATTGTGTGTGGCCCAGTTTTATTTTCTTTTTGTCTTCGGTTCAACTGAAAATTTCTTGTTGTCTTCTATGGCTTATGACAGATTCACAGCTATTTCCAATCCTTTGAGGTATAATAGTATTATGACTCCAAAGGTATGCATATTCTTAGCAGCAGCATCATGGATAAGTGGCTTCCTGGCCCCCCTGATTCCAGCCATATTCCTCTCAATGACATTATTCTGTGGCTCTAATGTAATTGATCACTTCTACTGTGACTTTTCTCCATTACTTCACCACTCTTGTGATACTGGTGGTGTCTACATTGTTGAAACGGCCTTCTTCTCTTTGGCTTGTTTGGTTATACTAGGCAATTTTGTTTTCATTAGTATGTCCTATGGGCTAGTTGTGGTTATTATTGCTAACATACCTTCTTCCAGAGGAAGGAGGAAGACGCTTTCCACTTGCGGTTCACATCTGACTGTTGTCTGCTTGTTTTATGGCTCCATCATCTATATGTATGTCCGATCAGACCACAGTATTCCCTCCCATATCGATAAAGTGGTGTCACTATTCTACTGTGTCATAACTCCTACCTTGAACCCTCTAATTTATGGTCTCAGGAATCAAGAAATGAAGCAAGCAATTAAAAGAACAGTCAAATTTACAACCTGCAATGAAAATTCACTGTGCTACCTTTAAATATTAAAATACCCAAAAGAGAAGCTCCAGTCTCCCCCCAAACAAAATACTTTTAAAGGCAAATTTGTCTTTATTATGTTTTACATAAATTTTAACAATACAAAACATAAGAAATAATAATAACATGGACAAGTAAGTGGATACAACCTGCAACAAAAATTCACTGTGCTACCTTTACATATTAAAATACTAAAGAGAAGCTCCAGTCTCCCCCCAAACAATTAAAAGACTTTCCCGTCAGGGGATACGGGCATTTACTGAGTTGTATACATGATCCGAATTTAACCTGTATATGTTATCATTGTGCCTCTTTTCTCAATAAAATTGTTTTTGGAAAAAAAAAAGACTTTTAAAGGCAAATTTGTCTTTATTATATTTTACATCAATTTTAACAGTACAAAACATGAGAAATAATAATAACATGGACAAGTAAGTGGATACAACCTGCAACGAAAATTCACTTTACTACCTTTACATATTAAAAATGCCCAAAGGAGAAGCACCAGTCTCCCCCAAACAATTAAAAGACTTTTAAAGGCAAATTTGTCTTTATTATATTTTACATCAATTTTAACAATACAAAATATGAGAAATAATAATAACATGGACAACTAAGTGGATGGAAAAACATCACAGGCATGTCTATAGTCCATGCGGACGAATGAGAATGATTCTAAACAACAGCAAAATGGAAGTGTTTCAATAACACATATTACGGAAATTTCCAGAAAGAAACAAAACAAAAAAACATAGGTTCAAAGGGTGCATCTCCAGATGAAATACATGTCACAAACTGTGATAACTCTGTATAACCAAGAGTATGAACCCAAACAGAAAAAAAGGAGAAAAAAGTGTACAGAGAAGAGAAAAAAGAGAAGTCAGTTGTAAAGATAGTGAGGGAGAAGAAGAAAGCCGGTTGGAGGACGGATAAGGCAAAAAAACGGAGTCAAGGTGGCCCCACACCAGTATCCCGTTAGAGTGACCCCCGCTGCTCGCACCTGGTACGGGCCGTGGGGCCAAACCCGTGAATTAAAAGACTTTTAATATGGGGACACTTACCTGTCCAGGAATCCAGCTCTGTCCTCACCTAGCCAGTTTTTCAATTGGTTTTGGGTCCCTAGCGCTGGCATCTTAAGTAAGGGAAACGGGAAGTGAAGTCTTGGGGCTTCACAGCTGATTTCCCACTGCACATGTGTGAAGCGTGCTGCTTTTTGTGAATGGCCCCGCAGTCACATCACAGGTCCCAAAGGGCTGCGGGTGAAGGTGGGTGCGAACTGCATTTCAGATCGCCTTGGCAATCCGATTGGAAGTGGGAGTGGGTGCCTATCAAAACCAGGAACCCACTCCTCCCCCCCCCCAAAGGTGCCAATCATTAAAGAGGAGGGTGGATGCAAACAAGCAGATCTTCCCCTTTTAGGTGAAGTTCCTCTTTAAAATTGCAGCGCTGTCCTACTTTTTTTTTTTTTAACTTAAGTGATAACTATTGTTTCACTTGTAGATGCATGTTGGTACACTTTTTGAAGCATGTCATTCTTGGGACCCAGAATTTCTTTGTGTGCCATGCATTTCTTAGTGTCTTTCCTTTCAGTATTGCTTGTTGTATGTCTTATTGCCCCACCTCTTTTCTTCCTTCCTTCTCTGGAAGATTTAATGTAAAGGAAGCAAATAAATATAATACAATCATTTTCTTAGAGACCTCTTTGACTTCACTGTTTTGTTACTTTAAAAAAAATAGAGCTGCTGCTACTAGGTCCAGCCCCTGGATTTCTACTCAAGATGTCTTGAAAGGTACCCCAGGTCCAGGCCTAGCAACACCCCTAGCTCCCGTGGTTCGATGATTAAACAAAACTGCTATTTGGAGGTACCTACGTAGTCTTAGTAATAACAAGAGCTTCCCTTGGCAGACCTCCATATCAATGTCTGCCCAGGCTTCTCTTCTTCTCTGTGTATTATATGGCAATCACATGAAATGCAAAACCATGCAATGTAAAGTCTGGGAGAAACCTATTAATCCACAGAGGATATGTGCTCCAACAAAATAATTTTGATAGAAGCAAATTGGTGATTTTTCTTGCAAAGCTACTTTGGTCCAGGATGGATCAATAAAATATGCATATGTCATACCTGACTGATCCCCGTGTGGCCTGAACATCACTTTAATAATCGTCCTGACTACTGTGACAGCAGCATTCTTCTAAGTCAATTGCTGAGTGGCTGCCCTTCTGCATAGTAACCGAAGGGGGTGATTACTTGACACTGCCGCTATTTCGAGAATGCCCTGTATTTTTTCAATGTTCTCTGATTGGATGAGGTGGAGATTTTGACATCACTTCCCCACCTCTCCACCTCATCCAATCAGAGAATGCCTTGTTTTCACTGAGAAAATTCCAGGCTTTTTCTGTATGTTGCAGTGCTGATCAGGCAACTGCCAGGCTGAACTAGTAAATTATAAGATGGAAACAATCACCAAGTGATTACACCCCATACATGAATGCCAACATTACCATATATCTCTATGAAATTTTTTGTTTTTAAATTTGAAGGCATTCCACATGTCAACGCATAATTATATAAAACATATATGGAAGAACTTTCCCCAATATGTCTTGATCAAATTTTTGTGGTCTTATGTTTATTTTTATGATTTTTGTTTTTATTATTTTTTCTACGAAAATATATTTTGTACAACTATAATTGTTGAAATGTGGAATGCCTGTCAAAGAATAAGTTCAGCTTTGGGAATATGTTACATGTTCCACTCCTTTTTAGGGTGGAACATATAACATGTTCCTGCTCCTGCAGCCAACTCTGCGGCTGACAGCTTGTAGTTCTCAATGAACTACCAGGGTGCTGTTGAGCACTCTAGGTAGTTCATTGATTCTTGCTGTCAGCATGTAACTGCCTGCCTGCCCTACAAGGTACAAGCAGACAGCTTACACTGACAGCCTGCAGGAGCCCTGCATTGCACCCACAATCAGCTGATAGAGGGCGCAATGCTTTCCAGGCTACTACAATAACAAATAGAAAATGCATCTACAAAAAAATGAATTCATTATTTTTTTTTTTAAAGAGGAACCTATCCTTTAAGTCCAATCAAAATTCATATAAAATGTTTGTATAGTGAACTAGTAAATTAAAGAACTTATGTTTCAACAGCTGGATATCCCTTAGTCACTCTTTCCTGTTCCTCCAAAGTATCCTAATACTGGGATGAAACATTAGAGAATTCATTGTGCTCTACACAGATATTTAGAAATGATGTGTCAATGGACATTGTAGCTTATATAATGTTGTTTTATTATTATTTATTACAGGTACTTATATAGTGCCATCAATTTATGCAGCGCTTTTACATATAGTACATTCAGATCAGTCCCTAACCCTCAAGGGGCATACAATCTAAGGTCCCTAACTTAAATTCATACATACACATACTAGGGCCAATTTAGACAGGAGCTAATTCACCTACCAGCTTGTCTTTGGAGTGTGGGAGGAAACTGGAGTACCCGGAGGAAACCCAACCAGGCACAGGGAGAACATGCAAACTCCAGGCAGGTGGTGCCATGGTTAAGTTTCAAATCAACGACCCTAGTAATTCCAGGTGGAAGTGCTAACGATTTAGCCACTGTGCTGCCCATGTTTTGAAAAATATTGGCCCCCTAGGTGCACACGTTAGGCTGCCATCACTCAAGTGTTTTCGTGCTTGGAGGAATGTAAGGTAGATTGCTCTTTTTGAAAGGATACCTCAATGAAAACAAAACTGCACCTACCATATGTTTGTCTATATAGCACACCACAACATGGCAAATGCATTGTAGCGCACTTTTGTACAGGCGCATTAGTATATGCTGTGTATGTGCATCGTGTCCCTTTTTATATGTGTTTTATTATGTTACCAAAATCACTCACATATTTTAGCCATACCCATTTAAAGTGTTACTAAACCCAGGACCCTGCATTCACTACATCTGGTCTCCCACAGTACACAGAACATGGAAATGCAATTATTTTAGTAAATATAAACTGCTAAATACCTTTTCTCATCAGCAGTTAGAGCAGTCTTGGGACTTCTATCAGTGTCTAGCCGAGCACAAATTAAAGCTTCTAGGAGGAGTTTTCCTTCTACTCTAGGGAGAATGCAGGGCCCCTGACCTCTGTCTGGACAGTGCTGATTGGCCCTGTGCTGATCGCTTGCACTCTCCCAAGAAAAAAAAAAAAAACTCTCTAGCAATACACACCAAACTGAGCATGTGTAGAGTCTCTCCACAAGATATGTCTTATCAGGAGATAAGAAGGAGACACTGGAAGAAGGTGAGGATCAGAGAAGTCAGGTCAAAACAGCCTTTTTACAAAATGCAGAGGATTAACCCCTTAGGTTCCACAGTGAGTATAACAAGCATGCTTTACTGCATATACAGACTGATTTTACTGTTGTGGGTTTAGTAACATTTTACAGTTGATGCTCATAGTTGGTTGGTTGATAGTTTGATTAATGAATCCGTAATTCTGTCTGGCCAAGCACAAAGCCAGTTTAATACAAGAGTCCTGACTTGAGGTAATGTGTCAAGCGAAAGGTTTCAGTATCTCTAAGCTGTATCACAAGAATAAGGACATTTTCAGACAAGTGATGGGAACTTTCAGATCCCACTTAGGTGAAAATAACCGTAACTTTTATTTTAAAGC